AGTGGTCAGTACGATGGCCTGGCCTCAGAAATCTTCGAACCCTGCTATGAGCCCAGCGGGTCCGACCCATGTTCTTGTGCTGTACAGTCAAGCAAAGTTTCCTGTTCTTACTTTGAAAGCAGATTGGCAAAGAAATCCGGTCTAGGCAGATTGCACATGTTCTTTGCCCTGTTGATTTGGCACAGGGCTGTGTCATTTTCGGTCACATGGTGCTACGGGCGCATATTTTAGGATTTCGGGACAATCCTACTCTGACGACGCCAAGGTGGCCGCAGTGCTGTTGGCTTGCCCCTTTCGACAACATCTACGTTTGTGGTTGACGAATACCACAACCTATGAGCGGCTGAAGGAGCGCATTGTCCAGTTGGAGGCGGTGACCACCAGATGGGTTTCATCGAACAGCCTGATGTTGCCTACCAGAGCATCAACAGATGAGGCCACCTCCATGGAAGCCGATTACATCGGCAAGGCCTATGACAAGGGCAAGAAGGGTGGCACGAAAGGTGGCAAAGACAAAGGAAAGTCCAAAGGAAAGGACAAGGGCAAGAACAAAGATAGGAAAGGTGCTTGGAAAGGCAATGACAAAGGGCGCTCTTCGTGGGAGCAAGGTTGAGGGAAGAAGGGAAAGAGCCCAGACAAGAGTGTAAAGAGTGGCAAGTCCGGTGCGTGCCACGTTTGTGGAAAGATGGTGCATTTTGCCAAGGACTGTTGGAAGCGTGTGAATCGGATTGAGGAGCAGTAGACGACCAACCCTGGTGGTGCGAGTTCATCATCTATAGGCCAAACAGGAATTACGGGGACATCATCGACTCAGTATGCCTCCGTGAAGATGGTTCGTTTGCAGACCCCGCCGGAGGCAGCATCGTTGGGTGTTTGACTTGACCACGCCTCGACAAGATGGTAGAGAGGAGAAATATTCATGGAGAGTTGGAATAGTTCGAACAGATGAAGAGACTGACGAGTTCTATGAGATTGAGGATGACGAGTGCAAGGAATGCTTTGAGCCTTTGGTGGACGTCAAAGGATATGTGGCTATCGTGGCCAGCTTGTTCTTGAGACTCGTTTACGCCGTGGGTGCGGGGCCAGAACTTGGTCCAAAGTTCTTGCCACCTGAATCTGTTGCAGAGGGGGGCGGGGGCCCATCATCCGTTTGGCTTCTGTTGGCTGGAACCACATTCAAGGCACAGCTGAGCTTCCGAAGGCGCAGAGCTTTGAAAGAGGTGGTTGACTGATGCCCGACCAGCCATCGTGGAAAAGTGGCGAGCTTGGAAGTGATGATTAACTATGATTTCAAGACGTTAGAATTTAAGCCCTGTACAATTTCGAGTTCCATCCTCATCTCCAAAATCACTGGATCCTGGAGTCCTGGAACAACGGGAACGGCGGTAATATAATGTCTTTTTGACAGTGTTGTGGTTCGTCGGAGCAGATGTCTCAATTTCGCCGCTTTCTTTTTGGCAATCTTGCGCAACTTGTTCAATGTCTCCTGTTCTCTGGGCAGCAACTCTGAGAGCAACACAGCTCGCCGCTTCTGAACGGGAGACTCATAGGCAAACTGCGCCGGCTTTATCATTGCTGGCAATATTTTGAGAATCACCATGTTCCAGCCACTCTTGCAGTTCATCATGGCCCATCCGTTTTGCAGGGGTTTCCGCAGAGGCAGCTTCGAAACCAAGTAAAATAATGTTGGCAAGCTCCGGCGTGGCACGGCTTGGCCAAGCCCCTAGTCCATGTTGTTCTGCGCGCAAAAGCGGCCTGAAAGGATGCCAGACGGCAGCTTCGAAACCCAGTAGAAGAAGGTTGGCAAGCCCTGGCGTGGCAAAGCTCCGCCAGGCCCATGTTGTTCTGTGCGAAAATGCGGCCGGAAAGGCTGCCGGACGGCAGCTTTGAAACCCAACGGCGTTTTTTAGGATTCACTTCCATGGTTATGTCAGTTCCCGTCAGACGAGACATCCTGCTGATCCCATCTTAGCTCCGTTGCGGCGGCGGAACGCCGAGGGGCCGGCTTCACCGAGTGCATTCGCACCAAAAGATAAGCCTGTTGCAGAGGTACAACGGAGTTTCAATGGGCGCACATGCAAAGGTGCAGAGAATTCTTTGGTTTCATATGGGCGAGTAGAATTAGAGTCTCTCTATGAGTATCAATTTGCGCGCAAGATTTCCACGCAAGTCTGCTTTATGTGTGTGAGAGCAACAATTAGTTTGGAGGCACGATTCCAAGATTGGCCAAAGAGGATGCGAACGCCCCAACCTAAGAGACAAAAATCGGACATCCTTGAACCCATGTTCCCAGAAACAAAAAGTTTAGAGTATTTTTTGGAGGTAAACATAGAGCATTACAACGCTTCCACTGGCAAAGTTTGGAACCCTCACATGACCATCCATGTTTGTGGGTTCTGAATGTCAAATGGGATATACAAATCGACCGTCCATCAGGGCCCGCAACGCACCAAAAGAAACATGAGTTACGCCAGTTACGTCAGCTTCGATCACCGAATCCACTGTCCAACAGTTTCATTAGCCTTGCCAATTGGAGAATCAACGCTCAAAAAATACTGAGAAGTTGAATAAACAAACAACCAGGATCAGTCAGAAACAGGTGGTTTTTAGTCTAAATGAGTGGATGTTTTGGGCATCCCTATCCTCCAAGTTCGGCACCCCTTCGGAAGTACCGGAACAAAAAAAAATGAAATCGCCGAAACCTCCGGGTGAATCTCGGCCGTTTTCCTGGTGACCGGCGGACGCCGATGAATTGGTCAGACTGGGCGATGACGGAGGTCAGTTGGCCAGAAGGGGCGTCTTATGGCTCAGATCATCACGAAACTACTTACAGGTTTTGAGTGTTTTTGAATGGAATAAAAACTGAAAGTTTTGCCAAGATGAGTTGTTTAATAGAATCCCTTTGTACATCTCTATACCATATTTACATACCCTTTGGAGGAAGCAAAGATTCAAGTCTTTTAGCATCTTTTAGCCAGCCTAGAGTTACTTGACGTGGTAAATCAGGACGTGTGGTAGTTGCACGGGCACTGATGGAAACTGGACAGTTCTAGCTTGCAAAGGAACATCATCTTCCAAAGGGGCATGTTCCATCTCGACGTTTGCTCAAAGGAGCTTGTTGTTGGCACACTGAAGGAGTTTTGGTTCCACAGCTATTCCCCAGTGCCATGAACTGATTCTTGCGACATTCGTATAGGGAATGGTAGTACCTGGTTTTGGCATCCGAGGCCGGCCAGATTCTGTTCAAGGATTCCTCCACAACTGATATGTTTACAATGTGGTGTATTTTACAAAACGTGGTTCAGCCGTCAGCACACTAGGAAACAGGAAACAGTACCGTATGCTCAAAGACCTCGTCCCATTCGATGTCCGACACCCCTTCTGGTTCGAGTGACTTCCCTTGGATCGAGCCGACCTCCTGCGAGAAGGGCCGAGGAGACTTGAAGACTTGATCTAGTCATCCTGGATCAGGATTCTATGGGCCCCAAACTGAATGGTTTGAGTTCTCTCCAGGGTCAAGTCTTGGTTCTCGCAAACATTTAACATTGAAATAAATTCTAGAATGTTAGAAGAAAAGGTTAAAAAATAATGGCATCATGGGCAATCATGGGCATGACTTTCCCAGTTTTTATGTTTTTGCGAGGGTGGGTAAAACCTTCTTGTGGACGGACAATTCCCTCGAAGTCGGCATACTTGTTCCCAAAGAACTTGAATGGCAAGACACAATCCTTATCCTCGAAACATATCCCCACAGCAAGAGTACATGGAGGAACACACTTACAAAATCCCCAGACCCCGAGATCCGCCCATCGCTGTCCATCAAAGCCCAACTTCTCGCGACCCGCGCCCACGCGCGGGGCGAAAGGTGTCGGGGACCGCAGCGAGACGTCTTCACGCCACCTGCAGAGACTCAGGAGGTGCTGTCGCCAGCGTCTCGCTCGCGATGTTCGCGTCGCGTCGGAGACCGCAGCGGAGAGACCGCCAAAAAGGGCCCGACCCAGCGACCCGCGAACGAAGTTGAAGGTTTCTTCTTACAGGGGTAGACTGGTTGCAGAGAGCAATGTGTGTGTGGTTTTCTGACCCGAAAACAAGGAATTGTGGACAATGTGCAACATGTTGTAGGTTCAGGTTGATTCGAGGTTTGTTTTGATTGCTGCCTTTGAGTTGTTGAGTATTGTTGAGTGGTCGATGGAATCCATGTTTCATGCTCTGTGAGACCATGAAATGCTCGTTCCTCGACATGTGGAGCCTGCAGCCGTTGAATTATGAAGAAAAACCATCGAACGGCTGATCACAACGGCTTTGTGTGCGTGGAACGTGCGTTCAAGCAACATGCGTTAGTGCGTTCGGTGGGTTTTTCAGTCTTGGTGTTTTCCCATTCCGGGCTTTGCTCAGGACCGGGATTCAAGTCGTGGAATTGAAGAGTGTACCAGTGTACGATGTACTTCAAGAATAGCTGCCATCGGTCGGAGAGCAGTGAAAACAGAGTCCCACTTCCGGTCATGGGCCGTCAAACGGAAGTCATGGGTCACATGGGTCCGAACCGGGTCTGTCCTACCTGTAGTCGGTAGACAATGATCACATGTTTAGAGAAAGGCCTTTGCTAGTCATGGTAGTGAGATAGACCAAACCTCAATGGACAAAAATGATCCTGAAGACTTCTGCATAGGCCTCAGTGTGCACTAGCCAGCTAAAATTAGTGTCCGTTCAGAAATCAGGCTGGGCCGTGCAAGTCCGAAAAGAGCGAAAGGATGATCGAAGAATCGAGTTATCAAGGATGTATCAAGAGCAGCTCTTATGTCAAGAGTTACTTCGGAGCTCATAGATCAAGAGTCATCGAAGGATACTAAACAGCTGAAGGGATACTAAAGCGTCCCTATCGAATGGAACGAAGTCCAAGTCCAATACAATTTGTCCAATGACACGGCAACATCGACAGCTATATGACATAGCTATTAAGCATACATCCAACGTGCACGCGCGGGAGAACTGCTGGAGCCATGGCCACAATGCCTGTCACCCAGAACAATGCCTGTCCATGCGTGCAGGGCAGCATAGTAGGAAAGCAGAAGAGGCATATTACACCACAAGATCATCCAGCAAAAAGGCACTCGCTATCCACGTATCGCGTAACACCTACTGTCGTGCTTTGGGGTTTGACATCGGCTTCGTTCGGCTTCCTTTGGAACTAAAGCCCACCTGCTACCGTGGAGCAGTGAGGCCAGTCGCGTTGATGCCGGAGGATCCTGAGTTTGATGAGGAGACCGGTGAGAGCTACTCCCTCATCCATGGTGGAAGTGGATGGGAAAACGCCCCCCCGAGTTTAGACCAAAATCGGTGGGTTGTTTCACTTCCATGATTTCTTCCAGGGAGTGTATGAAGTCAAAAATAAGAACTCAACGACTCAACAAGTGGGAAGTTCATCCACCAGCTTGCTGGTTGGCACTTAGTTGGCCTCGGTGAGTCTGAGTCGCATGAGGGGCTGCTCTGTTTTCAGGCCGGTCAACCATACTATGTGAAGCATACCTTGCCTGTGTTAACAAGACATGCCTGTGTTGTCTAGAGATGTGTGAAACAAATCTAGACAAGATGACAACATCATGAGCACAGACAGCTTTGCAGCATGGGTTTGGGTTTGGTAATTACCCACCAGATGAAACCCATTTGAATCCAAGACAGGCATACATTTGTAGTACCAAACCTCGTGAAACAGTGTAGATGCACTCCGATGAAGGCTCTTTCAGACAAGACCCGACTCGGCCCTCGTCCTCCGTCATCCGCTGGGTGTCGAGGAGGCCCAAGCCGCCCACTCCAGCGGCTGGGCGGTGCAACGGCTCCGCTTCGCCCACGAGGCGCAGCTGAGCCCAGGCGAGGTCGATCTCAAGGAACGACGGGCGAGGTCGATCTCGGGGGCCTGGGCGCGCCATCTCTTCACCGAAGTTCTGGGTGAAGCTGCGAAGCTGGATCTCCAAAAGAGTCCCAGAATCCCCTTGTCTACCGAAAGAAGAGACCCCCTGTCGGAACACAAAAAAATGCGACTGTCTCCAAAAAAAAAAGAAACACGCAAACAAACGGGCGCTTGCGGTGGCCGTTGGTTCTGAGTTCTTCTTTCTGCGGGTTCCGTGGCCCGAAGGATGGGACCGGTGGTTGGGCGGTGCCAAACGGGCTGCAGCTGCGGGTGCCAAACAAGGCGGCACCAACGAAATCCTGCAGACAAATTGATCTCAAGCAGTGTCTTCAAAGACTACCTTGTACTATAGGGGCGCAGTCGAACGCACGCGTCCACTGAAAGCGCCGGGCGACGTGTCCCGTCAGGTGAAAGCGTCCGGACAGTTCGTCATTTCAAGATTCAAACCAGAGCACGCATCTGCATCTGCTTTTCGCAGACTCTCGAGAGATGGTGTTTGAAGCAAAGTGAAGCGCACGGTGTTTCATTTATAGTCGAATGCCAAGTTGACTCCGGCCGCATTCCAGCTCCAGCTTCTTCGCTGGCTCTGGCAGCTTCGCGAAAACGCCCGGGACGAGACAAGCAGACACGGGGCCTTTCTGCGCCCAAAAGCACAAGCGGGTGAGCATTTGGAAGCGACGCCAGCAGATGAGCAACAACCAAACACCTATTCCAGAAAGAGACTCATGGAGAACATACTCATCTCAAACTTTTCATGATCCATCATGATCCCACGTTCTGTTTAAGACAGATAAGCCCACACGGAAGACAGTGTTTTGAACATAAACTCAATGCGCCCTTGGCATAGGCATAGGCAAAAAAACAACGCGCTAAGACCTTAGTGTTGACAACATTGACGTTGAACAATTTGCTTTCAAAGCATGTCAACAGCGCGATCGCCTTAAAGGCGCTGCGTTTGTATGTGTTCAAATGTTTTGAAGGTCTTTCTAAATATGGAAATCTGTGTCGAAAGGGCTAAGGCGGCTAAGGAATGAGGATCGTGTGCTCAGGGAAGCAACATATCGCAACTGTGTCAGAATCAGGAAGCAAGACTCCTAGCAAGACTCCTGGCATCTTTTAGTTGTTCCCCGGTCTTATCCCTGTTGGCGCCGGCGGAGTCTCCTGCGGACAGTCACAACGATCAACAGAAGGAACCAGTAACCACCTTTCATGACAGCGCTGGGTTGTTTGGCCTTTCCCGTGCTTTGAGTCTGAGCGAGAGTGGAAAAAAGTTCCTGGCATTTCAGGGGAAAGCTACTTGTGGCAACGAAGGTCTGCTCACAGAGGTGGGGGATTGGTCCAGCTCCACCGGCTCCGACCAGTTCCGCCAGGCTTCGACGCTCCTCCGGCTCCGACCCGCGCGGTCTTCCGCGGCTTCATGCTTTCGCGGCAGCGCCGAGCGTGGCCCGGAGCGAGGACGGAGCGGTGACCAGCGAGGACGGAGTGGCGGTGACCAGCACTTCAAATGTCTTGCAACAAGTGAAACAACACATGCCAGTCACAGGAAGTTCTTGAAATGGATGGGTTTGTTGGTTGGAGTGATATGCAATACATGGCATATATATATATATATATATGCATGTACTCCCTTCTGTGCTTGATCTTGTAGCAGAAAGGACCCAACATTGAGCAGCACGCGCGTAGCCGGCCAAGTCGGCCCGAAGATAGGTGATGGTCCGCGGAGAGGTTCATATGGTTCATCAACCGCCATGTTGTTAGCCAATTTCACCCATGTGTGTATGCATAGTTTACCTTTTTTAGATCCCTTGTCCTAGAAAAAGTATTTGCATGGCATAGAGACATGTCCACCTCTTTGGGATGCGGTGTCCTTTGGAGATGGAAATAGCTGTCCCTTGGGAGTGGCGAGAAACCTCAGGTTTCTCCACGAGAGCTTGATGGCGCAGGGGCTCGAGCTCGTGGTTTCGTCCCTTGGAAGCGAAGCACCGCCGTTGGAAGCTCGTTGTGTTCTAAACCCTCGCCTTCCAAGACCATGTTAAAACCTGGCCGACCTGAACAGTGTGAAATCCTTAGTAAAACAAGGGTTGTTCGGGATTCAGACCACTAAAACGGTGGTTGGTTTGAATCCTAGGATCAAACCTGGACCTTCCCCCTTTGTTCTTCACTGAGCCGCTCGTGTGTTGCCTAGTGTTGATGGATGAACACCTCGATCTTTGCGGGTAGAACACCGCTCAGCACGACGTTGTTCAGTCACCCAGCACGCCAGGTCCGCCAAGGGGGGGAGTCCAGAGGTCCACTCAAGAGCGGTGAGACCATCAGCCCCTCGAACTGGGCGGCACCAACGACCCCAAACGACCCACCCAGAGGCAAGAAGAACGGGTTTTGCCTGGAAACCATTGGGAGATTGGCAAATGCCCAAGCGGTTGATGAGCTATACCTTTAGACTTTGTATGATTTTGTCATCCCAGGAAAGCATGTTTTTGGCGGCCAGTTCGGAACCCATTCCTGAACTTCCATGCATTTCCATGCGATACTCCAAGCAGGGAAGTCGTTCGGAAATTTTTTTGTGTTGTTAAATGTGTTGTGTTCAGGAAGCACATATCTATCCGATCTATCCTTTGCAGATGGTTGCAAAAAGAATTCTCGAAGGCGCTTGCACTGTTAGTGGTGGTCAACCATGGCTTCTCAATCTCTCAGCACGCTCGGGCCTCAACTGCAGCACACTCGTGCCGCGATTTGGTTTGCACTGTTAGTGACCTCCATGCGCATGCAATGGTGGGTCATCGTTCCGAGGTCATACCAGACCTTAAGCATGCAAAGAATACCGTGGGTAAAAAGGATAGTCCAAAACACCTGGGTATATTGATGTTTGTTGACCGGTGGATAAAGCACCCTTGCTTTTTCCTTTCAGTTCAAGAAAGAGTGTTTCCCGCCGAGGCCTTCGCAATATAGCCGCCCGGCCGCAGATGGAGATCTTTGAATGGGGGCATTCCAGAGTGGGTCAACGCATAGCCCTTTCCAGAGGCTCCATGGAACACAATACATTCTATTGAGGCTGACATGCACTTAGCTGAGGAGCGGCCATTCTTTCCGGTGCCTGCCCTATTGCAGACAATCTATGTATGGAAATAGATCGAAAGCAGTATATACTGGTATCGAAAGCTTGCTCGTGCTTCCCAACCCCAACCCCCACCTTTGCTCCGGAACCCGGTTTCTTCCGTCCGGAAACACCACCTGCGGGACCCACCGATGATCATTTTTCATTCATCAATGTAGCATATGTAGCCTATATGTATGATTGCCGTGGCTTGCTCGGGTATGCAGAGTTGGAAACATATGCTGGGGACGACGCGCAGTAGCTCCCTCACGTCCGTTGTCGGGTGCTTTGGAGTCACCGAGGGGTGGCCACTGCGAACGGGAAGCGAACCGAAGCGAGCAGAGGAACGACGGCCATGTGGTTGTGTCCATGTTGGGGAGGCTCCAAAAAGCCATTGAAAGACTCGCTCCCTTTGGGGAACAATGCGAAAGATCGAAACGGAGAGCAAGTTGTGTTCTCTCACTCACTCTCAAAGAACCATGTGTTTCCCTTTGAGAAAGCACTGCTCCATGCTGTTGCGCATGTCATAGCTGCTCTTTGGAGTTCCAGGATTCTTTTCAGCAACTGCAAGAGTTGAAGTCTAACAGCAATGGTAAAAGGACATCTTTACCTATCAAAACAGCCGCTTGACGGGTCATTTGGTGAAGCAGTGGGCTTTCATATGGGTTGTATATTTCAATAGGAAGACTCCCTGGCCAAATGGAGGTCAAACTGGGCGGTCTCCCTAATACACACCCAAACATGCTCTTTGTTCCCCCTCCACTTTTCGTCCGGTCCAAAAATCTGCAAATGCACGGCAACTGGCGCTCCCAGGGGCATCTAGATCAACAAAAAAATAAAAAGGATCAAAAAAATATTCCTAGTCCTCTGGTAACAAGGTCCCTTGGTCCACTGGTCCTTTGGTCTCCTGGTCCTGTGGTCCGCTGGTCCCCTGGTATCCTGGTCCTTCTGTCTCCTGGTCCGCTGGTCTCTTGCTCTCCTACTGCGCTCGTCTTTCGGTCTCCTGGTCCCCTGCTTGCGCAAATAGAGGCTTGATAGCTTTCTACTAGAGGTAGCTCCCTGGGAGGGAAGTAGGTACCCAATGATAAGGTAGCTGTCCAGTCATTGAGTAGCCCTGCTCGAAAAATGGTTCACCAGTAGAAATAGCTCCCTATTAGGAAGGAGCTCCTAGAGAGGTACACTCTCCTAGTCCCCTACTCCTTCCATCCTCTTCCCTTGGTCTCCTAATCCACTGCTCTTCTATGCTCTTCTGGTCCTGGACTCGGCCTTTGGTCCACTCAGAGACAACTGTCTTACAGAAATTGTAGTCTAGCACCGTGAGGTAATTGTTTTGATCCTGTTCTTTTTTGTTGATTTAGTCGGCTAATGTGTTTTGGCGCAGACACGCCAATCATAGCATGTCCATGGTTTGGAGGGCAGTGGAGAACAGAACACGATAGCACCTCGAGGTGATTGCCCACCAGTGGTTTCACCGCTGCACGTTTTCGCGAGAAACACGCCTTCTTTGGACGATGCGATGGGCTAGAATATTTTGTTTGATTACCTTTTTATTTGTTTGATCCCCTGTGGTTTGTTTAAACTTCCTTTTTAATTTTTTGTATCCCTCACCCGCTCCCAGGCAACGCTCACTTCTTCCCTTCCACCTATGATGCCCTCCGAGCGCTCGCCCCGCGCGCGACCTGGCAGCCGGTGGATCTGAGCTCGGAACCGCGGGCCGAGCTCTTCCAGGAGGCGAGGCCCCGAGCGAACGAGCTCGGGCAGTTTCAGCCGGAACTGGGTGGAAAGTGATAGGCGGACACTGGTTCCGCAACCGGGATGCGCTGGGTGAGGAGGTCCCACCGAAGGTTCAAGTGGATTTAAATGGTTTGAAACCTAGACCCGTGACACTCTGAAGAACTAGCATGGACCTTTGGAAGAGCTCGAGCCACGCGCTTTTCGTTTGAACTAGTTGAGGGATTCGTAGGGATTCTCCCAACAACATGATCAATCATTGAAATCATTGGTGTCGCGAGTACCCTCCTGTGCACGTGATCAAGAGCCATGCAAAATGTGCTCTAACTTTGGACCGGCGCTCTTTCCAATGTCAGACACTGACAGGCACTGAAAACTCCCACGTCCGCTGCGAGTGGGCCGTTCCCTGGCCCAGCGTTCCCTGTCACGGCTGCTAGGCGGTGGCGGTCGTACAGAGCAGCTTGGCGGACAACAGGTTTTTACATCAAGGACTAAAAAGAAATCATCCCATGGTGCCAAACCCCGCATGGGAAGGCCTCCATGTGGGCGTCAGGATGGCACCATGGTTAGAGGAAATATGTTGGTTGACCATTCAGAAAGCAGATGGTCTAACTCAGAAAACAGAAAATGCTGTGGCCTCAAGATTCAAGATCATGTTCTGAATACCCAGCAGGATAAAGAAGGTGTTTTCTCTTTTTGTCCAAGAGATGTGAGACTGTGAGAGTGGAACGGTAGCAGTTCTGTGTCCCACAAACTGGCGAGTCCTTTTTAGCCGCCCCAATGGCTGAAAAGGGGTCTGTCATGAAAGCGGAAGAGGCTGAAGAGGGCAAGGAGGGCCAAAACGTCCCAACCCCCTGTCAGTTCTGAGGGGCTCATGACCCAAGATGAGCAGTTCTCGTGCGTCAGTGGAAATGAACTTCGACACCGAGAAACTGCCCTTCATTCCCAACCTGAGGCCTTCATCTACATTCATCTACTCATCCACTCTTTTTTCAACATGGCTTGGACCAAAAGGCCCTGGTCCATGAAAAATCCTCAAGCCGAGAGCTGCTAGCTGTGGTCACCATTGTTGTGTCGCCAAACTCTGCCAATAGATTCATGAGACGTACCGTTCCTCACTGTGGTATGGGCACTGCAATTCTCTCTTTTGTAACCTTGTAAACTTGTAATATGGAATATTGCATTCCGGAAAAGCCCTGTCAACTACTACCGCGGCTCAAGGTCTTTTTCTGGACAAGGAGCGTTGTAAGTGTGCGAATTGAGTTTGGACAAAATTCCTGGCTGAGCCCATGAGGTGCTTTTTGACCTGTCAGAGTCATCCCCACCCCACCGACATCACACGTTGCCCTCAGTCTGACATCGCACAGCTAGGCTCGGTCGGCCTCTGCGCGGGACGGTCGACCGCCGCCCTGACCGCCCTGAGGTTGGAACTGCCGCTACGTGGTCTTGAAGGATTACGTGAAGAGTGCCAAGGTCGAACCGAGTTAGGGATGGATGGGAGCGAGGGACGGAATAGACATTGACACAGTGATTGGTCGGTCTGGAAGCCCAAATTGGGGTTCAGGTATGTTCAGGTAGTATAGACATTCAAGGTGCATTACTCCGATCTGGCATTTCCGAAACCCCAATTGCTCAGGTAGTATAGGCATTTACCTCACCTTACTTACAGTACGCGATTGGTGATATCGGGGGTCCGCAGATCAGCCGCGGCCACGTCACATATTACCATGATTTACCATGAGGTTTTGAGGCGCGGCCAAGGCGTTTGCATTCAACTTCCGTGCTTCGGGTGATCGCGAAAATGTAGGTGCGATCCCGGAAATTCATAATTTGTGTACTGTATCTCTTTTGGTCGTGTGATTCCGGAAATCCACGTGCCGCTGGAGAAAACACAAGGACAGAAGAAATGAAGAGAAGGATCATATCACGTCACACTCCGATTCTGCATGCTTCCCACATCATACCCAGCCAGAAAAATGCAGACAAAACACCACCCTCTCCGCCCTCGCCTTGCTTGGAAGGCGCAGGGGAGCCGCAGCTTGGAATGATTCGGTCGGGGCGTCTCGCGTGGTCCTCATCCAAACCTGTTCTTTGCTCTGATCCTGTGAGGGAGACATGTTTTCCCATCAACATCAACTGATTAATTCCCTGGATCTAAGATGTTGGATGAGAGGAAAAGTCCAAGTTGCCTAGGTTTTCCTGTAGAGTTCCTTTCGACAAAAAAGTCCTATGAGATTTGGAGCTGAATGAAGCCGTTTCCCCCAACTAAAAGACGATTGGACTGGCGAGGTGCTTCACATGTTGAACGGCCGAGCAGTCTTAGTCTATGGTGAAGAAATGACTGACCATAGCACTCGTAGCACGCATATATGCGTCTATTCACCGGTGGACGAAACGCGCGGTGTTGGAAGGTGACAGGCGGGCACGGCGCCAGGGCCGCACCTTTGTGCTGAGTGATGGCTCCGCTTTGTCCGCCCTGAGCAGGGCTTCTCATTGCTTTGGTTTACGCTTGGTGATGTGGTTTGCTGTGCCCCTTGCTGGTGAGCATGCCACTTTAGGATACTTTAGGACATACCCTGTTGGGCACCGTTTGCCACATGCCATTGACGATAGCTTCACCTGCACAACGCGCACCTTCCGAACAATCGCCGAACCGTGCGGTTGTACGGCTTGGACGAAGCCTTGGCCCGAGATGGTGAGATGGTGTCCGTGTCCCCGGTAGCGAACGAAGCGACGACCGGTGGAGCGGACGCGACTCGAACGTCTGAGTGTCGTGAGCGTCGTGCGGTCGTCACCGTCCACATGGGGCGTCGGCCATGGGCCGGGTCGATGGCCGATCGGCCACGGCCATCGCACTAAGCGAGATGAGCCAATGGAGATCAGTATCTCTACATCGGGTGGCATTTATCATGCTTTCTGGACTTGTTCCATGTTCAGTGTTCAGCAACATGCTTGACCACCCTGATGTCAAAGGTCTGTAAACATGCCAAATTGGAAGGAAGAAGGTAAAAACGAGTTCTTCTCAAGCGGCGCACTCCGAGGCTTCCTCCAAGTGCCCGTCGACGAGGATCTTGCCGAGGTGGCCATGGACTTTGTCCGCGCGCGAGGTGAGCGCTTCAATGAAGGCCGGACTTCACAGCGGACCTCGGGAAGCGGACCTCGGCGGAGACGACCCACCGGAATGGATGTGAGAGGAGGAAGGATGGGTTTGCAAGTGCCCAGGGCTGAGCGCACCCACTAGTCAGCCACAGCCGCGGCCGCCAAGTTACCCACCTCACCACATGGTAGACCTCCCAGTTCGATAAAAACATATGGAAAGCATTTGACGCGGCACGAGCAAAAGCATTTCACTTGACTGGAGTAGAACTCCGGAGAGAACTTCGATGGTCCTGGTACAAGTGGACGAAGAGAGGATAAGGCATTGTACGAGCAATTCCAAATTGCGACGCTTCGGTTGCCGGATGCCTAAAAGAAGATCCCTAATTTGGCAAAGCTTTTCGCGGTGTTCATGTACCCTGTTGGGTTCTGGGTGGGTGCCTCCTTCGGCACGAACATGATTTGAGGGTGTTTGGCAGGCGAAGAACTCTGGAGAGTAAAAGAGTAGAGCATGGCGCCTCGTGGAGGAAGCGGAAAAAGACCAACGATCCGATGGCCCTCCGTCCAGTGGTGAAGCCATGTGAAGCCAGTTCCACTGAAGCCATGTGAAGCCAGTGCACTGAAGATTGATTACTCATGTGAAGCCAGTCTCTTCGTTTCCATTTCTGTGAGATGGCTCCTGATTGAAGATTGCTTGCAAAGTCCACTTGCCCATGAACTGTTCAAAGGTCGAGCCGTCTTTTGATTTTGCCGCAGGTGTGGTGTTCAAAGAGTACGTCGAGTTGATGCAACTTGATCCTACTTTCTGGGGGAGGGTTTTGGTATGTTTTGGTTGTAACAACGGAGTTTTTGTGTGTTGACCTCTAAACACATCCGTATCGAGTTCACTTGCTTTGTGGGCGCATTACTCCTCTTTGTCTCCGAATCAGCCAGAGAAAGACTATGGGACTCCCGCTCGTTCACATAGTGACCCTCAGCCCGCTTGTGTCCAAGAGACCAAAGCCTGAAGAACAAATGTGGGAATCAAAGCACCGGGAAGAAGGTTCAAGGCTTAAGGTTCTTTGATGTTCACGTTGCGAGTTGATGCAATCCCAACGACGGGCAAAACCCAAGTCGTGCTCTCCCATTCTCACCAATCCACCAAAGAGAGTCTCTTCCTCATGATGAGAAGAGGGAGGGACTTGAGTAGGTTGCCCCCCCAAAAAAGGTACTGGCTTGAAAACAACAGGGGAGGTTTGATTAAGGGGTTTTAGGGCTAGGAATTCGGGTGGCTAGGAATTTATTCGGTGTGATCAAAAGAACAGAGCGAGGTCGTAGCAACGGTCTTTCGCGAGATTCCACTCACTTGGACGGTCTTTCGCGAGGTGATGGATTTGATGAATCAGAGAAAGAATAGCCTGCTCTACAGGCTATATTATATAACTCAAGAAAGTCTAATTATATGGACTTCTGCAAGATTGGTGTCCCGTACCATTCAGTAGGTGTGGTTTTGATCGTCTTCAACTTGGGGATGCACAAGGGCTTGCGGATGGCAATCCAACAAGCGTATTCTGGGATGTTTTCTCCATAGCTCACTGAGCTCAGGAGATACGCTGGTCGCGCTGGGTACACCACCAACGAATGGCGCTTGTGGTTTATGTGCCAGCAACTGGTGAAGGTAGCTGCGAACTCCTTCCAGGCGTGGTGAGCCATTTACTCAAAGGATTTTGCAGTACTTGTGGAAACAAGAAGCCTGGTGTTTGTGTATCAGATGATGTGATTGGCGCAACCTGCCCGTGTTCAGGCCTTCCAAAATGCCCACTAGAGTATCGTGCGAATAACCTCACGAAAACACGGTTGGACATGCTGTGTTTTTCCCCACCTGTCAGGTGAGGGTTGTTAGATTCTATGTCAGCTGCCGTCGTCCTCCTCCTCCGGACCTCAACCGCAAGTGCAGTTCCGCCGGACCCGCCGGACCTGAGTCAGAAGATATGCCAGATGGAGCGCCAGAAAGAGTATCAGAAGATATGAAGATATGCAGAAGATATGCCAGATAGAATGTCAAAAGGTATGCCAGATAGAATGTCAGAAGAGATGCCAGATATAATTTCAAAAGATATGCCAGATAGAATGTCAGAAGAGATGGAATGTCAAAAGATATGCCAGATATGTCAGAAGAGATGCCAGATGGAATGTCAAAAGATATGCCAGAAAGAATGTCAGAAGAAATGCCAGATAGAATGTCAAAAGATATGCCAGAAAGAATGTCAGAAGAGATGATCACTCGAAGTAATGTAATTTTGGAACATAATAGTGCGAACACGTTCCTTCCTTTGCACACTGTCTCAATTGCACCAAAGGTTTGTACCCCGGCCCGCTGTTGTTTCTCTTGTCAAGCACGTTGTTTGATGTTTCTCTCACGTGACACAGGTGTTTTGTGTCGCTTGCTGGGGCGGTTTGGGGTTTTGCATGGTTATGCAAGAAGACTTGCGTGTAGGCTTGGGTGATCTTGGGTGTCAATCTACGGCCGTAGCTCCTGGCATTACTAGCAGCAAACAGCTACTAGGTTGGATGCCATCGCTAGTAGGTTGGAGGCCAAAGAACACCTGTTCGAAAACAGTCGCCCCATCTTATCATGTTTGGACCTTGCCTTGCCACTCCCACGAAACGCAAGCTCCTCGCGGGTCATGCCGAAGGAAGAGGCAGATGAGCCTCCCAAAGAGGTCCTAGAACAGGCGGTGGGATGTGGGCGGGCGACGTGAATGGGAAGAGTCAGTTTGAGAGAGAGAGAGAGGGTTGTTGCAAGAGATCTGGTGGGAGAGTTGTGTTGGGGAATCTATTTTCCATTTGCTGGGGGTTGTGGAGGTGGACAGGAAAGTCAGAAGATTGCATGGGAGATCCCTACAGATTGTATTGGGTGACCAGAGTCGTGTGTGTGTGTGTGCGTGCTGTTGTTTTATATGTTTTGAATTGTTTTAAAATGTTCTCTAGCCGAAAGGAATTTGTTTGTTGGTGCATTTACCAAATGTAAAAGATATGCATACCCGGGCCGACAGCATGATACAGTGAAGACTCTTCCTCGCAGTACCAATCAGAGACCCTTAGAACATGAACAGAGTGCGACTGAACAGTTGAGTTCGATGCAGGTGTTTGGTATTTTCGAGGTCACAGATGCCAGGGCTGCGACCCCTACCCAGGAAAAGTGGAGAACCTGAAACCTTGTGGAAATGGGTTTCACAGCGACATTCACCTCTACCACAACTCACAACCTCACGATTCCCTGCGCCTGCCACGAATCTTTCCACGTTCACACGTCTAACGCCCCACTCATGAACCGGAAAATATTATCCTGTTCTTTCCAGGGAAACTGAGGGGCTCAGTACTCATGCACTGGAGGTCGTTAGAGCGGCTGTTCCGGCCGGTTTCATTGCAGTTTCCAGGTTTGCCTCAATGGGCCGCGAAAAAACATGGGCAAGCGCCACGAGTAAACCCTGCATCGCAACATGTTTGTCAGCGTTCCTTCTGGCGCTGGTTGAAAGATCAACCATTGTTTTTGCAGAGAGTCCGGCAAATGGAGGTGAATCATGGTCAATGCCCATTTCGAGAATGGGTGGAATGTAGTGTACTATAGATTGTCAATAGGATTAATAGATGTTAATTAGTATTCAACCCCTGGTTTTGTTGTATAAAATCCTCTGTACAATCATGCTTGTTCGTGGAAAAAAACATCAAATCAATGGTGGGTCGGGCTTTTTTGGATGTGGGAGTTGATCGAAAACCCCGTGTAAGGAGTTTTATGTAAAACAGCCTTTCGGATGTTGTTAGAACCATCCGCGAAAGATTCGCAATGAGGTTCGCGAAAGTATCGTTTTTTTCCGCGAAAGAGTTATCGAAGGTCATCGCTTTCATATGGTTTCCTTTCTACCGGACTGACAAAGAATAGAAATACAAGGCAATCCTCCGGCAGAGCCGGTGGGCGGAAGTGTCCCCATCTGTCACAGACTATCGAACTGAAGCCTCAACATTTCCGTGCCCAGCCCTGGCAGTGCGTAAAGGATTCTCCGATTCCTGTCCCCACTGTCACAGACTAGCAACCTGAGTAGGCACAGCCCTGACAGTCAGGCAACGACCTGCAGCTGCTCTGACGGGCTGTGCAGATGTTTGCAAAAGTTACGGCTTCCCAGGGAAAGCACCAGTGAAATTTTGCGAAGGATCCGCGAAAGTTTCGCGAATGTGCCGCTAAAGTCCAGGTTCCCAGCTTGAGGCCCCCCCCAACACTCCCCAAGCTGCATCACCCTGTGTTGGTAGCTGGCACGAGGATTGAGTTGAGTTGTGCCTGATTCTATTTGGCACAATTGTCGCGCAGATGCTGCAAGTGACCCTGAGTAGCTGTGGAAACGTTCAACCTTCTACTGGGGTCATGCTGCAAGATGTTTGTCCCTATTTTGTGATACTATGACATGTTCCGGCTCATGTTAGCTAGACTCTAGACATGGCTGTAGGACCATGCTCCGCGATGAGGCCGCGAAAGATCCGCGAAAGATATCTTTTTTCCGCGAAGAATGGCCATTCCAGGATGAAAGAATATTGATCAACCACCATGTATTGGACCTGTACCGATCCGAGGTCTTTTCCAGATCCGTTCGGTGCTCCGATGGAATTCTCTCAGGTGACGGAGATGGCCCAGTCCATCGACAGTCCCTACTTCACCATTGACCTGGCAGAAACCTCCACAGGCGAGTCATGCGAGTCATGCGTTTGTTCGCTGCGGAAGATCGTGGCACGTTTGTGAAGCCGTTTGGAAAGAGCTGGGCCACTGAATCGGAGGAGTGGAGAATTTGAGGAAAGGGTGCTGGTGTTTACAGCAACAAGGTCAGTGAAGAGTTGGGAGGAGAAGGGAAAAGACGGTGCATTTGGTAGGCTCGATGGGCTTGTTGATTTGACAGTGTTGAAGATGGGATCAATTTGGGACTCCCCCGGGCAAAACGAGCCGGAATCAAGTACCCCCAAACGATTTTTTGGGGCAACCCTCAATGTTCACTAGGGAAGACTGAGCGAATCTGATTGCACATGCCGCATATGCCTTCAAAACGCTCTGGAGGGACGGATGTTGCTTGGATCGAAAACAAAAAAGTTCCTCGACCGCTCTGATCCGACCCATCCCATTGACCCCAGGCTGGACAATCTTGGAGGCTGGTGATGGCTCCGTGTCGGGCCTGGGCGTTTACGAAGATCCAGCAGAGCAGCTCGACGGCGATGCCTCTACCATCGAAACCATGGAAAAGAATGAGGTTCACCATGACTCACCAACCAAAAAAGATCCAAAAAGGCTGGTCTTGAACCTCCCTCCACAACGAACATGGAAGTGGACAAACCAGGGCAATCCCCTTGTGTGTGTGCAATTCGGGGCAAATCATTGGTAGATAGCAAGCAAGTTTACCAGGCTTGGGTGCATTTTTATCTTGACATGCAAGTAGTATACCCGGGCAAGCTGGGGAGTGAAAGTTTCAAAAGCCCAACACAACAAAACGTATAGATCAACAAGCATCCCGGGCTTTGCAAGCGTGATAAACTCATCAAGACGATTGATTGCGGCTCACCAGCGACATGCCTCATTGAATCCGCCCGCATTACATACACTCACACACACACACTTTGACAATGGGTTTTCAGTTAACTCAATTCCACGCGGAAATGGATGAGGGAAACGCACGGTGGCTGAGTCCCCGGAGGTGAATGTTTCAACAATGTTTGCAAGTGCACTCAAAAACGATCTGGCAATCAACGCGGCTGCAAGTCTGCGGTGGAAAAAGGAGGTTTAAGGGTCTATCGTGCAAGAACCATGGAAACAAAAAACGGAGGAGTAGACAGCGTGGTCAAAAGTTCAAAATTTTCGCTGGTACATGAGTCGAGCGTCCTCGACTCATATCACAGGAAACGTGCAGCGTCCTCGTTGGTCGCTGACTGCACGAATCCCCAGCGACCCCCTGCAAACGAATCGGGCTTAAACTCCCGGAAGCGGAGGGTGACGCACACACACACACCCGACCGCTTCGCGGTGCTCTCTCACAGAACCTGAATAGACAACTAAAAAGCCTTAGGAAAGAAAAAGAAAAACAGAAAGAGCAAAACGAAAAGGGCAAGAAGAAAAGATAGGAGTAGCCCTTGACTGGCGCAGGGAAACGAGCCACAAGAACAACCTAACGAGCCTGAAAGAAAGCCCAAGAAACGAAGAAAGCACAAGAGAGAAAGCGGGGGGCAGGGAGGGGATGTATGTTCATGTGTGTGTGTCCATGTGTGTGTGTATGACTACTTAGCACTTTAGTTACTGACTACTTAGCAGACATGAATTACGTGCAGTAGCTAGGGAGCGGGACTTTAGTCTTAAACCGCCCGGGTAGAGTAGACTAGAACAGGGACAACAGAAGGAAAGGCACCGACACACAAGTGTGTCGAGTACCATTTCCTTCTGTTACCCTAATTAGAGGGGGGGTTAGAGAAAAGGGGAACCCGGCGGGGGTTTATTCTCCGAATGCCCGGCGGCGTCAAGTCTCCGTAAACTCGGCAGTGTTATGGCAGTAGATTCATTGGGTGAAACATTCAATCCAAGAGTGAGAATCCAACGTGTGCAGAAAAACGCGAAGTCACACGTGATCCACGGCGGTTTCAGCGCTCCCTTGCGGGAGATCACACCCTGCACCCAAGTGGGACGGCAGAGCGGCGCACACTGTGACAATGGGTTTTCAGCTAACTCAATTCCACGCGGAAATGGATGAGGGAAACGCAAGGTGGCTGAGTCCGCGGAGGTGAATGTTTCAACAATGTTTACAAGTGCACTCAAAAACGATCTGGCAATCAACGCGGCTGCAAGTCTGCGGTGGAAAAAGGAGGTTTAGGGGTCTATCGTGCAAGAACCATGGAAACAAAAAACGGAGGAGTAGACAGCGTGGTCAAAAGTTCAAAACTGTCGCAGGTACGTGAGTCGAGCGTCCTCGACTCATATCACAGGAAACGTGCAGAGTCTTCGTTGGTCGCTGACTGCACGAATCCCCAGCGACCCCCTGCAAATGAATCGGGCTTAAACTCCTGGAAACGGAGGGTGGCACACACACACAGACGTGTCCCGTTCCCACAATGACGGTTCTGAGCATGTCGTGCGAGACGTCCTCAAATTTTGACATGTCAAAGCTTCAAAGTGAGCATTTCGGTGCATTTGCTACTTACGAAATGGTCGTAACACCAAAGATTGACTATGAATGATGCGTTGCCCACACTGAATGCGTTTCATTCAAGGCCCATCAGCAATGTGACAATAGATGCAAATGAATAATTGCAAGTGGTGAAAAACTGCGCCTGCATGGGGGGAAAGGTAAAAGCTAGGACATGCGAGAACCTCTTGAAACCTGGTTTTACAGGGCGGGCAGTGTCAAAAAGGATGCCCGGCAAGGACTTTCACTAATTCCTGTACCTGCCCAGGCATTGGCAGCTGCTGGCAGCACACTTTGGCGAAGACGCTGCTTGAATCGCAGTGAATGACAACGACCTCATCAAATTTCGCATCAGCTGGAAATGACCTCGAGCATTGATGGCTCAGACCCCTACTCATGACAAGGGACTGAGTGAATTGATTCCGCAGCTCTGAATGAAGCTTTCACGAGCTTTCATCGGCCGTTTTTTCGTTTCCCAGTTTTTTGTTGGTCTCGTGGATGTCGTTGTGTTGCAATTAATTGACAGTTGCAGAGAGCATGCTTTGGATTGTTTTGGCTTGATGTGCTTCCACATCAGGCTTTGTGTGTTCAGCACTTCTGCTTGAAGCCCAAAGCCAGCTCCAGCTGTGCTGCCTTGTACAGACTCGCAGCCAAGCTGGGCGGAGTGATGTACAGAAATGGACGCGCTTCAACAAAAAATTGTTCGATAGCCCTCGACATCATGGCCTGCCCCATGGTTCTCTTCCAATTTGTTTTGCAGAGAGAAGACCCTCCAATCGCTATGTTTGTCGGACCACTCACTGTACTCTGCTCACTGTCGCTTTGAGGGCCCAAGGGCCTCAACTGCTCTTCCCAAGGATGTGCAGGGGCCGATTCGGCCGAAACCGTTTGGAAGCGCGGCCGGCCCGGCCACCACGGGAACCCGACGACGATGTGCCACTGGGGCGTCCGAACGACCGAGCGTGGAACGAGACGACCGGAGGGCGGGCTGCGGGAGGGTTTTAAAGAATTTTTCAGGATGGACAAGGAATGGAAAAGGGATGAAAAGGGATATGTAGTCGATGTATGTCGATTTGCTGTTTGGATGCAATGCTGTTGGATGTCGTTGGGTAGTTTCGAGTCCACTCTTGGAAACCCATCCAGGTGTTCGTTGATTTCTGGACTTAAGAGAGGACATTCTTTTCATGTTCAAAGGGGGTCCTTGTTCCCAAAAGGGTGAAACTATGCGAAACTTCTGGGATTTGCCCTTCTCTGGCCATTCCATGTGTGGAAAATCGCCAAATAGAAGCGGCTTTTCACCCGTTGGGACCTGACCTCGGACAGTGCCGGTGCCCGATTGGCCACCCTAACGCTACTAGGAGCAAAGGGCATCGCTGCGAACGGAGCAAGGACGCTACGAACGGGGCTCCTGGCATCGCCACTAGGACATTCTTACTATTAGTAACAAGAAGCTACAAGGGGTTCCTGGCCCTACTACTAGGAGCAAGGACGCAACTAGCAGGGGACCGTGCCTGAGGCCATGGCGATTGGCCACCTTGATCCTGAGACTTCAGATTTTTGCATCAGCCCCCTCTCGAAGGGGAGAGCCGCGGGTGCAACAGCACGCTTCGGAGTTCAGTGGGTTCTCGTTCGCAACTGCGTTTTCCAAGCAAACGGGATGCCAGTTCAATCTGCCCTGTGGTGCAGGTGGATATCTTGGGTACTGAGTTTGGAGGAGGTACAGACAGTGCTACGATCGTGCCAGGTGCCCACAATTCTGTGAAGCCACCTGCATGGCAATTTTGCGACCGGGAAGCCCGCTTTCAAGGACTCTCACCACAACACTGGTTCAACCAGCTGAAGGGCCTGTGCCATTGCTTGCACTCACAAGATAAAGGCTGGTCCAAGTGAAGCAAACCCGCCCATGAAAAGTCGAAGACCTTATTGCTTCACTTCCAGTCGAATACTTAACCCCGAGGCCATGTTCCACAAGCTTACCCACAATGTCTTACAGGAATTGCTGGTACTGAGTGGAGTAAACCGACGTACAACCTAAACCAGTTGCAGGGACCACAGACGCAGAGCGGCTTCGCTCCCAAAGACCGTCGCAGAAAGGACCGCAGCTTCGCTCCCACAGCTTGACCGAAAGCTCATCCATCAGCTTGACCTGGCTTTCCACAAGCTATCTGCAAAGCGCCAAAAGATCAAAACTAGGAGACTGCAAGGTTTGCATGTGCGACTGGGGGATCAGTTTCTCGATGTTTCTCGCCATGTCCGCAGCATCTTTGCGTTGACCGTCCCATTTCCCGTGGAAGGACAACTGTTCTGAGGTCAGTCAGTTTGTCCAATGATGGCATCTTGATTGGAAGTCATGGTTTTCTTGTCTTGTTCCCAGCCCCTTCGCTACGTTGTTATGCCCAAACACTCTGACAGGAAATGCCATGTGATGAAAACCCTGAAACATCAGGCGCTAAGGCTGAGGATGAAACAAACCAGTTCTCTTTGGGTGCCTTCAAAGCATATGTTTCCTGTCTTGTGGGGCAAGAAGCTATTAGTCGCCAGTGAAGGATGCATTTTCCAGCCTAAGTTGTTCTCAACTTGCTCTTTTGATGATGCAATTCTTGGAAGCAGCTTGGTTTCGCAGTGCCTGGATTCGCAAGAGACCTTCGTTGCTACAGAACGTTAACCAGAAAGTTCCTTGTGTGTGACAAGATGTCCTCGAATGCCTGTACAAGTCAACTGTTCCGCCTGTCTATTGAGTTTTGACCCTGACACACTTCCCGAATGTGCGCACAAATCTTGAGTATGCAAAGTGAGAGCTTGTGATACAAATCTTCTGACACAGGCAAGCATCTGTGGGTTTGGGATATATTCAGTTTTGCCAACCAGAGCAAGGTCGAAACAATTTTGGTGTCCTTGTTTGGAACAGACACGGTGCTTTCATTTTGATTTGGCCACGGAGCACTGCGTTCATTGCTAGTGTAAGTGTAAATCTCAGGATGTTGTCCTGTCTGAAGTTTTTGTGCAGATAAAACTAAGAGTTTGTCACTAGGACAGACCTTCAGCAGCCCTGCTGTTTCTTTTCAGTGAACACATGTGATACATGTCTTCAACCAACGATGTGAGTGAGACGTTGGTGTGGCTCCATTGGAAACAAAACGCCACGAATGTTCCTGTTGCTGTGCTCAGAAGTGAGACATGAGGTGAGGTTGCAACTTGCAACTGCCAGCTTCATCATGCCCCAGTGGTGTATCTCTGGCAGAACAGATTCAGGATGGATACCGCTGTTTTTAGCTGTTACACTGGGACCTTTTCCAGCTAGTCCTGCTGCTGCAGGCAGCTTAGACCTTATAGAATAAAGACAGGTAAAAGGATGGAATATGTGGAAAAATGTCAAGATGTGTGCTATATGTACATGGGCAACACTACGCCGTGCTGTGAACCAAACTTTCGGTTGACTGTGTGTGATACAGCTCTTTACGTAGACAGGCACGTCACAAGACAAGCAGAAATAGAAATCAAGACAAGCAGTGTCGCAGAAGTTAGAGGCCATCGCTAGCAGGTTGGAGGACGTCGCACTTAAGTTGGAGGCCATCGCTCCTAGAAGATTTGCATGGAGAACTGTTCTCCACTGTCCGTCCAAGTTTCTAAGGTGAGAGTTCTCATTCTTCCTGTCGGAGGTCGACATCCGACGTCCCTTGAAGTCCCTGTCGGTTAGGAGAAAACCACGCCCTGTTGGACAATTTTGGAGCGGTCCTGCAATGAGTTGTTTTGACGATGTAAGGGGGTCAGGATGCGTCAGGCGACCTTCAATGTTCACCAGGGGCGGCGGCTAAAAGCAAAAGCAGCAGCCCTTGTCTAAGGAGTGTCGTATGCCAATCGTTTGCTGATGGGATCTTAGTCGGAAGCCATGGTTTTCTTGTCGCGGTTTCTTCGCTAAACTGTCAGGCTCACCCGCTTTGGAAGAAAGTTTGTCCAATGATGGCATCTTGATTGGAAGTCATGGTTTTCTTGTCTTGTTCCCAGCCCCTTCGCTACGTTGTTATGCCCAAACACTCTGACAGGAAATGCCATGTGATGAAAACCCTGAAACATCAGGCGCTAAGGCTGAGGATGAAACAAACCAGTTCTCTTTGGGTGCCTTCAAAGCATATGTTTCCTGTCTTGTGGGGCAAGAAGCTATCAGTCGCCAGTGAAGGATGCATTTTCCAGCCTAAGTTGTTCTCAACTTGCTCTTTTGATGATGCAATTCTTGGAAGCAGCTTGGTTTCGCAGTGCCTGGATTCGCAAGAGACCTTCGTTGCTACAGAACATTAACCAGAAAGTTCCTTGTGTGTGTGACAAGATGTCCTCGAATGCCTGTACAAGTCAACTGTTCCGCCTGTCTATTGAGTTTTGACCCTGACACACTTCTCGAATGTGCGATAAAACTAAGAGTTTGTCACTAGGACAGGCCTTCAGCAGCCCTGCTGTTTCTTTTCAGTGAACACATGTGATACATGTCTTCAACCAATGATGTGAGTGAGACGTTGGTGTGGCTCCATTGGAAACAAAACGCCACGAATGTTCCTGTTGCTGTGCTCAGAAGTGAGACATGAGGTGAGGTTGCAACTTGCAACTGCCAGCTTCATCATGCCCCAGTGGTGTATCTCTGGCAGAACAGATTCAGGATGGATACCGCTGTTTTTAGCTGTTACACTGGGACCTTTTCCAGCTAGTCCTGCTGCTGCAGGCAGCTTAGACCTTATAGAATAAAGACAGGTAAAAGGATGGAATATGTGGAAAAATGTCAAGATGTGTGCTATATGTACATGGGCAACACTACGCCGTGCTGTGAACCAAACTTTGGGTTGACTGTGTGTGATACAGCTCTTTACGTAGACAGGCACGTCACAAGACAAGCAGAAATAGAAATCAAGACAAGCAAGCAGTGTCGCATAAGTTGGAGGCCATCGCTCCTAGGAGATTTGCATGGAAAACTGTTCTCCACTGTCCGTCCAAGTTTCTGATTTATTATGGTGTCACATTTAGAAGCCGCCAAGCAGCACAAGCACTACTCCATAGGTCGAATCTGCATCTCCTTCATACTCACTAGGGCTCCAATCTTGGGTTTGCCATCAGTCAATACAGTCAGAAGCAGCCCTCCCCCTTCTGGCGGTCACCTGAGTTGCAAACAACTGACCGAGGCGCTGATGCCAAAAGACACGAAAGCAATGCCGAGACACTGATATCACCCCCCTTTGCCAGTTGTCAATGCTAGATGTGAAACGAAAGAAAAGCATCAAAATCAGGCAAACAAACTTGAGAAGAGCAACCCATGCTCATGGCACTGACTTGATCTTAATCCAGCCTGAAGATCCTGCCGGCTTACTTTGCTTCTTGGACATGTGTGACGATGCGCTTGTAAAACCCCTTGTACGAACGACCTTTCCCGTCCCAGCCTGCGCGAATTGCAGACTCGATGTGGTAGACAAGCTTGGCAGAAAGCCCAACGCCTGTGGAATGCACCGGGATGTCATCTCCACCCTGATGGCAGCACCGCCACTGGAAACATCGCAGCGGATCCGGTGCAGACACGTCGTCGTGCAGACCGATCGGAAAGCATCAAGAGCTGTGAGTGAAGAACTTGCGTGTTTGAGGTGAATGCCT